GCCTGCCTCTGCCTCCCCAGTGCTGGGATTAAAGGTGTGCACCACCAATGCCCGGCGGTTTTTTTAAAAATTTTTTTAAGATTGATTATGTATATATGCCTGCACGCCAGAAGAGGGCACTGTATCTCATTACAGGTGGTTGTGAGCCACCATGTGGTTGCTAGGAATTGAACTCAGGACCTCTGGAAGAACAGCCAGTGCTCTTAACCTCCCAGCCATCTCTCAAGCCCCGAGGTTTGAAAATTGTTTTATAAAAAGGTTTTATTTCATGTGTATGTGTCTGAGGGTAGGTAAATGTACCATGTGTATGCAGTGTCCACGGAGATCAGAAAGGGACATCAGATGCCCCGGAACTGGAGTTACAGGCAGTTGTGAGCCATTGTGTACATGCTTGTGGCGTCCGAACAGGGACTAAGTCTGAGTATCGGGGAAAAGCCTGGAGATTTAGTTAAAGCAGAAACTCTGCTCGTTTGTTCTATGTGAGTCTGTTCGACTTTATTCTAGGGGGGAGAGCAGCCTTATACACTTACAGCACAGAGGAGAAACCCCAGGCGTAGTTGATGCTAGTGGGCGAGGCCAGGGCCGTAAGCCAGGATGAGAAACAGGATGCACCTGGGTTATTGGCTGACAAGCAACTCAGACTCCGTGGGGACTGGGGCCCTACACATGCTGAGAACTGACCCCAGGTCCTCTGAAGGAGCACCATGTGCATTTAACCACTGAGCAGTTCTCAACCTGAGGGCTGCGACCCCTTTCACAGGGGTCGCATATCAAATACCCTGCATGTAACATATTCACATTACGATTCATAACTGTAGCAAAATTACAGTTATGAAATTCAAGGGAAATAATTTTATGGTTGGGGTCACCACACTGTATTAAAGAGTCACAGCATTAGGAAGGTTGAGAACCGCTGCTCCAGAGCCATCCCTTCCTCTCTTTGAATCAGGGTCTCACATAGCTCAAGCTGGCCTCTGACTCGATATGCATCTGAGCATGGCCTCTAATCCCTGCTCTTTCTCTGTTCCAGTGATGGGATTGCAGGTATGAGCCACCAGGCCCGGCCTCACCCAGTGAGCCACTCATGAGGTCACTGTGTTTTGCCCTGGCTCTCTTGGAAGCAACTCCTTCTCCCCCACGATGACTAAAAGTTGCTTTGACCCAGAAAATTCTAGGCAGGGGAGCAGCTGCTCCGTTTCACCGTTGGACTCAGGTTTTATCCATCTCTTTCTTGAGGGCAGGGCAGAGATTTTAGGAAAGAATGCTGTTCTGGGCCAAATCTCACTATCAAGCCTAGGCTACCTTTAGCTTACAGTAATCCTGCTGCCTCAGCCTCCTGAGTGCTGGGATTATAAATTTGCATCTCCATGCCTTGTCTGAATCTGAGGTTTTATAAAAATTGTTTTTGTGTAAACTGGGTGGTGGTGGTACACACCTTTAATCCCAGCACTTGGGAGGCAGAGAATTTGTGTAAACTGGGTGGTGGTGGTGCACACCTTTAATCCCAGCACTTGGGAGGCAGAGACAGGTGGATCTCTGTGAGTTCGAAGTCAGCCTGGTTTACAGAGTGAGTTCCAGGACAGGCACTAAAACTGCACAGAGAAATCCTGTCTCAAATATATATCCGTATATGTGTGTATGTGTGAATGCGTGCTACATCATGTGTGTGGCCTTCAGAGGACAATGTATGGGAGTTGAGTCTCCTATTATGTGGGACCCAGAGGTTGAACTCCGGTCTTCAGGTTGTACCCACTGAACCATCTTGCTGGCCCTAAATGCTAGTCTTTTGAGCACTGTGCCAGCACTCATTCTATACTTCATTGTACAAAATTCCATCATTCCTAAGGTGTTCCAGGTCCTATTCCAGGCAGCCTGGCACACCAGCAAATAATGCCTTATTGTTGGAGGCAAGATAGCTCATTGAACTTCAAGCCCATGAGTGTATGGACTGGCTGGCTGGGGAGGCCCTGGGTTGATTTATCTCTATTTCCTCCAACCAGCTGGGGTTACAGGCATGGTTATTTTAACATGGGTGTGGGATCTGCACTCAGGCCTTCATACTTTTTAGTGCATGTTTTATCACACGGAGTCACCTCTGGCTTCTGGAGGAATGTGTTGCATTTCAGATTGGTGCACAGGTGTGTGAATACTAACACGCCAGTGCCCTCCACTACGTGCATGAGGCAGTCACAGGACAGCTTTGTGGAGTCAGTTTTCTCTATCTTTACATGGGTTCTGGGTACCAAGCTTGGGTGGTCAGGCTTGCAGTCAAGTACCTTTATCCACTGAGTCATCCTACTGGCTGGAGGAATGTGTTTCTGTTTATTGTTAATTAATTTGTTAATTAATTGAGTCTGGGCCTCATTATGTTGCCCCCACTAACCTGGAACTCATATCCAGACCAGGCTGGTCTTGAATTCACAGACTGCTTGCCTCTGCCTCCCCGGTGCTGGGACTAAAGGTGTGAATCACCACCCTGGGCTCCAAGGCATGTATTTTTAAGGGCTGAGGGTATAGCTGATTGACAGGGCACTTGCCTAACACCGATGAGGACCCAGGTTCCATCTCCAGCACACGTAAATTAAACAAGTCAAAAGAGCTCCCAGTCACGGCTGAAGCCATTCACCTCCTGGGTGCTTTGAAACTGATTTCAGTGTGTTTTACAGAGTGGGGCTGGGGGCAAACTCGGTGGTAAAATGACGACACAGAACCACATCTTTATTGCAACTTGTTTGAGTAGAACTGAATTTGCTATGCAAGGACCATTTTAGCATGTACAAAGATGGGTGACGTAAGCAAGCCACAGCAGGGAGGGGTGGCCACTCCCGGGGAAGCCCAAACATCCCCAGATCTCTCGCTGCCCCTTCCTGCAGAGGGCCCAGCAACCTCTGCCAGGGAAATCTTTGAGGGAGGCTGCTAAAGGCAGTGGCTCAGGGCACCATGTGCCACCACTTGAAGGTGAAGGGTTTCCTTCGAACATTGGTGCCACAGTGAACTTCTCCGTGGTACATGTGGTAGGGTATGAAGTCATCGATGAAGGTGCAGTGTAGACCCAGCGGCTCCAGCAGGGAGCGTACCTTCTCCTCCAGGCAGCAGCTGCCGTTGATGATGGGCCCAAAGGGCTTGGGGATGCCCAGGTACTTGCCCAGAACCAGCATGTTCACCTGCGGGAAAGTGGGGGCCCAGATCAGAGGAGACAGAAGCTAGTGTGGGACCCACAGGTCTAGTGGACTAGCCCTGTGCTTTCAAAGTTATTTTAGCTTTAATTTTACTTTACAAGCATTGGTGTTTTGCCTACATGTATGCCTGTGTGAGGATGTCGGATCCACAGAACCTGGAGTGACAGGCAGTTGTAAACTGCCAGGTGGGTGCTGGGAATTGAACCCAGGTCCTCTGGAAGGGCAACCAGTGAGTGGGAAGAGATACTTGGGGTCACAGTCAAGTAGCAAAGATGTCCATGCTCTGAAAGGTCGAATCTGCCCCCACCCAAGGGAGGGGTTGAAACCACTCCCTCCCTCTGAGGACATGCTCCACATGGGCTTCCTTCCTGGCAAAGGATGCCTCCCAGAACACTTGGTGGCCCATGTTTGCCAGCCTCTGACCCTTGTATGGAAGCCTGGAGGCAGCAGTGGTGGATGGAGCTGGTTTTGAAGCCAGATCCCAGCTTTGCTATCTCTTACCTTCTGTGTGTTTCTGCACTAGTGACCTAACCTCTCTGAACTGCCTCTGGAAAGCAAGGCAATGAGAGAACCCACTCCTGACATTGCTGCAAGGCTTAGAAGAGGCCCTTGGTGCCACGAGGGTCGCATGAGCTTCAGAGGGTGAGGGAAGAGGCACCTGTTCCCGCCTTAGGCCTCTCCTGGTTGCTTGCTGATATTTAAGCCATTTGAATGAGATGACGTTGGATGGTGGCTGTCATCTCCTTACCATGTTTGGGAAGAAGGCTTCAGCCTTCGGCCTCTCTCTGGAGTTCCACACGAGCTTGAAGAGCTGAGGGATGTCAATGATATCACCCTCTGTCAGGCCCAGCTCCCGCTTCAGCACCGTCCGATTCCAGTCAATACAGCTCTGGTGAGGACACCGAGGGGGTGCATTAGGTGAGGAGAAGGTATGGAACAATAGGGATGGGTAAGAATCGGGGAACAGGCTCCAAGAACCTCCCCTCCCCCCAGCCCCCCTTCCCATCTCTGCCTGTTCCTGGGCTTCAGACCCTGGGCCTGTAGCCAAGCCAATTTGTAGTGAGCATCCCTGAGAGGCTTCCCCAGCCCCACCCCCCAGGCACCTGTCACACACAGACAGCCAGGCACCCACTGCACCGTCTCCAGGACATCTTGGTTGATTACCTCCACGTAGGCATTCTGGTCTCTTAATTTCTTGTTGGACAGAATATCATTGATCGTCTGCTGTTTTTTTCCTGTCATGGAGGAGAGAGGAAAAAAAAAAAAAGGACCCAATTTAGGAGGCAGGCTACTCACCAGTGAGGGGCGGAGCTGAAACCAGGGTCTCCACCTCTTAGTGGGGATTTTCTGATTCAAGACTCGATCCCCACAGTGCACTCATCTCCAAGGGGATCCTGATTGTTTTGGAGAAGGGGGCTCCAGAAATGTTGTCTTTAATGGTAAATCGTAGCACACTCCAGCACCAGGATTGGCACAGAGTCAAAGCAGCAAGGATGGCTGGGTGACCCCCCTGAATGTCATGTGACACAGAGGACGAGGAAGGAGACTATGGAACAGAAGACCCCAAAGCCTCAGACAGAGCAAAGCCTGAAGTGGCACAGAAGGCAAGCTGCTGCCTGAGAGACAGGGTCCTGGCAGAGTCGACCAATCCAGCTAACAAACTCCACTCCACTCCACTCCCGATCCAGCCAACTTTGGAGGCCCCAGCACCAAAAAAAGAGGCTGCTATGTCAGTGTCCCCAGGAGGTGGCACTGGCCACCAGGAAAGGGGATCTGCTGTTTAGATGGGGTCTCAGGTCTGCTTGGGAGCAGTGTAGTGTGACTGGACCCCTGACTCAGCGGATCCATCAGAGCTGGAGCAATGAGAGGGACCCTGGTGGTCTGCACTTTTCCAATTCTGAAGCTTTGACCCTTGGTCTCAGAGCCTATTTATATTTATTACTTTTAATTTTTTAAGTGTGTATGATGCCCAAACAGGCTAGAAGAGATCATCAGATCCCCTGGAACTGGAGTTACAGGTAATTGGGAGCCATCATGTGAGCTCTGGGAAACAAACTCCAGTCTTCTGGAAGAGTAATAAGACTCTTAACTGCTGAGCCATCTCTTCAGTCCCTATATTTACTTTTCAGACAGCCTCATGTAGCCCAGGATAGACTCAAATTTGCTATGTAGCCAAGGGTGACCCTGAACTGGTTCTCAGCCTCCCGAGTACTGGGATTATGGGTGTGCACCACCATGTTGGGTTTACTGGTGCTGAGGATAGAATGAGGTTGATGTGTGACAAGAACTCTACTATTTGAGCTACGTCCCCAGCCCCAGATCCTGTTGTGGAATATTCCTTTACACTGTGTGAAGATATGTCACTGTGACTAGTTTAATAAAAAGCTGAATAGCCAATAGCTAGGCAGGATTTCAGGGCAGAGAGAATGCTGGGAAGAAGGGAGGAGAAGCTAGCCAGACTCGGAACGAGTTAGGCACAAAAAATAGGACAGAGGTAAAAGTCACATGGTAGAACATAGATTAATAAAAATATGGGTTAACTTAAGTTATAAGAGCGAGTTAGAGCCAGGCAGTGGTGGCTCACGCCTTTAGTCCTAGCACTAGGGAGGCAGAGGCAGGCGGATCTCTGTGAGTTCGAGAAGTCTGATGCTGTTAGGAAAGGAGGAGACCGGGTGGGTGTGAGATCTGTGACAGAGCACTTCCCTGGCTTGCGTGAGACACTGAATTTCATTCTCAGCAACACAGAGACACGGGAAAGGAAAGCAAGCAAGCCAAGGGGGTGGGGCTGGTTTGCTCACCTCGGTCTAACATGCTCAAACATATTTAGAGAAAACTCTTGGGCCCTAGAGGTTCCTTAGCCTCTGACCCCACCTTTTGTATTTACTGAAAACATTCCATCCCAGGGACTTTGTTCAACTCTTTCTCTCTGCTGCCCCTGAGCCTTCTCAGTTCCCTGTCTGCAATTTTCCCTTTCAGTCTCCTCATAGGCCCTTCCATCCCGCTAACCCCTTCTCATGTCCTGCCACCTCCAGAAAGACTTCCCTGAGCTGGACCGACTTAGGCAGCCCCCAAATACCTCTGTTGTCTTAGTAGCTCACTGGGAGCTTGGGGGCCCAGTGCTGAGCATACACCCCCCACACACACACACAGTAGGTACACAAATCTCTTTTCACCCACAGGATCTCATGCATGGAGCAAAGGAGACTATAGACAGCCATGACAACTTACTCTTGATCCCCTCGAAAAGCAGTGCCTCACCGTGGCCCTGACTCTGCTGCTCCTGAAATAGCTGGTAGCAGGCTCTGGGGCTGGACATCAGCAGCCGAAAGCCCTGCTGGGAAACACTGGAGTCAAAGGGAGGCTTTGCCCCCTACCCGGGGTTCCCAGAATGGGGGATGGCACCTTCTATCATCTTCCGGTTCCCCACAGAGAAGGAGAGCTGGCTTGAAAACCACCCATGCAGAAGGGCTCCGCACCTGCCTGTCGGGTGCTGGGACGAAACTCAAGAACTCATCGATGTGACCCACAAAGAGCCAGTCAGAGAAGAGCCTCACAGGGGCCTGCACCTGCTGGGCGCACAGGAAGTCCTGCAGGGCCTGATTCATGTCCCGGCTCTCCATGCTGTCCTCACAGGGATAAGAAGTTATGACAGCCATCAGCATCATCAAAAGACACAGTGACTAGGCATTCACAAGCGGCCTCGGGATCTGGCCTGTTGACTTTCCCTCATCGAAGGAAGGCGTGGGGACGGTCATTGGACCCTCCTGTGAGATTCCAGCACCTGCCTACACCCCTTCCAGCTATATGTGACTCTGTCCTAACCATATATTGTCACGTGATTGCAAGAGTTGCTAGAGCAGTGGTCTCAACCTGTGGGTCACGACCCCTCAGGTGGAACGACCTTTTCACAGGAGTCTCCTAAGACCGTGGGAAAACAGATATTTACATTACGATTCATAATGTAATGAACTGTGGCAAAGTTACAGTGATGGAGTAGCAATGAAACAATTTTGTGGTGGGGGTGGTCACCACCACATGAGGAACTGTGTTTAAGGGTCGCAGCGTTAGGAAGGTTGAGAACCGCTGTGTTAGAGTGTGGCAGTGTGGGAGGAAGGTTGACTGACGAGGGGAGGAGGTGCGTGGATGCCGTGGGGGGGGGGAGTCATTCATGCTGGCGTGAGGCTTCATGGCCACCCACCCCCCTCTAGTAACCCCTCACCCATGCTCAGTGTAAGCCCAATCCACCCCCAAGTTGGGCCTTGGAAAAACAATTACTTTGGTCAGTTGTTGAGACCTTATCTGGAAAAGTTCACGCAATGGGCGTGGTCATGGGGAGCTGTCCAGGGAGGGTGGACTGGTAGAGGTCTCAAGGCTCCTCCCACCCATGGAAGGGACCCGGAGCGTGGCACTGACACCTGAACAATTTAGGCTTTGTTACTGCAGCTTCCTTGGGGGGAAACTGAGGCACAGCCACTGAGTTACATAGGATCACTGTCAAACCACGGGAAGCCTAGGCTTCATGCGATGGAGAAGCATGGGCTTCGGAGCTGGTCACACTCACTGCCCCACCACAGCTTCTGGCACATAGTAGATGCTCAGTAAATAGTCATTGCCTGAAGACATAGAAGCAAGCAGAGGTAGGCTCTGGAGGTTATTCACCCTACATGTGGATTCTCTCAATGTCTCCTGACCTCCTAGGTTTGGAGAAGGTAAGGGAGGCGCCACTGTGGCTTTTGTCACTGTCCCCTACCCCAGCACCTGGGTCCTGGCCACCCCTCGTGTTCTGCTTACCTGGAATAACCACTGCTCCCGATGAGAATCCTGCCCAGTGGGTATTCCTTCCCTCTGACGGTGACTGGGGGACTCACCTCCAGGTTTCCAAAGGCATCCAACCCTGTGACCTCCATTGCGTAGGGCCCTCGGGTCACATAGCCAAAATTTGGACCCTAAGGTGGGAGAAGGACACACTGAGAATTAGAGGCACTTGTCTCCCAGTGGAAATGGTGGCTGCAGGTTTAGGGCTGGTTTGGTCACAGGAAGGAATTCTGTGGCAGCCAGACAGGAAGTTTATGAGTGCAGTGTGGAGGGGACACTGGATTGAGTCAATGACCCTCGAAAGAGACCAGCTTGTTGGGTTCTCGGCACATGCGCAGAACAGAACCTCAATGCATTCTTTCTGCTCTCCCTTTACAGGCTGGTAACAGGGAATGAGTGGAGACAGGGACTCCTTCCGCCAGTTTGAGGAGGGACAGGAGTCCAAGCCACCCTTGGCTGGCACTTGGTCCTC